AACCGCGCGCCTCTCCCGCCTCCCGGAGCGCCAAGAACCGCCGCGCGCTCTTCTCCACACTCTCCTCGGCTCCTCACAACTGCAATAGACGTCCAGAAGCTATCGAGCTGGAAATCCAATCCCCACCAGCCCCAAAAGCCGCCTCTGGACATCTATTGCAGTCGCGAGGAGCAAAGCAGCTGGGAGATCTTTTTCCACATATAAAGCGCACCGGGTTATAAGCCGCACTGCCGATTTTGGATCAAAATTTAGGATTTTTAGTGCGGCTTATGGTCGTGAAAATACGGTAGTTAATTTGCAGTCCTTGGAGGTTTAAGACTTCTGTTGGTTATAATCTGTCAGTCCTGCAATCATATTTAATAATTATGGAGCTTTGGCTTTTCCATTTAAAAGATAGCTGTCAGCGAGCCAAAAAATATGTCTTTAGGATGGATCTTTTTTTTAAAAAAGAAATCAAATGTTTGCTCATCATTGAAGAATCACTGCACCATGCTTTAATTTCATTCTTTTTTCTTGTTTAATTACCCTAGAAGCAACTGCTCTGATATTTCAGCCATACAGTAATGTATCTACAGAATGTATTTTTTTCCAAAAGAATCTCCCAGAATGTGTGCATGTGCATATGTGTGTTTGTAGGCACACATGGGTGGGCTGCTGGGGGTTCACAGGGGTTTATGAGAATCTCTAGCTAAGATTCTGTGCAGTTCGGAGAACCCCCAAATCCCACTCCTGGCTGGCCCCATCCCGCCCTCCCAGGAGTCCCCATGTGGCCAGTTGTGGATGCAGGTAAGTGCAGGGCGTGCACAGAGACTTGGGGAGGGCAAAAAACGGGCCTACCGGAAGTTCAGGAAGGCCAGAAATGGGCCCGTTTCTGGTCTCCAGAGGACCTCCGGAAACTGGGGAGGACATTCACCCTCCTGGAGGCTCAAGGAAAGCCCCATGACCACTGGGAGGGCAAAAATCTCCCCCCCCCCCTGCTATGGTGCAGGAGGCTAACTAGGCCATGCCCATCATAGCCATGCCCACCCAGTAACTGGGCAGAAAATCCCTTGCTAAAATTTCGAAGCCCTGCCCTGCACACACACATACAAAGAGGTATGCACTATATAGATCAGAGAAATATCATGGAAGAGTTAAATATTTTGTTCCCAGAATCACTTCTCCAATTTTCAAAGCATTAAATAACTGAGGATATTAAGTATTTAAAAAAAATACTAGCAGGAGTTCCTTGTCACCTCATTCATTTCATTCAGAATAGCTAGCAAAAACAGTAGTCAAAAGTCTATTTTCATTCATATTAGAAGATGCTATTTGAAAAGCCAAATGAATTTAAAAAATAGGCATTTGTGTATGGCTATTTCTTGCCCCAAAATAATTTACTAATGTAACCATAGGATAATTCCTGATTAGATTATGCTGAAGCAAGTAACCCAAATTCTCAGACTATTTTCAATACATACTATATAACATTAGCAATAACATACAATCTGGTTTGTCTCAATTTCAAAACTGAAGTTTAAAATAATTCAGGTGAATTATGTGACATATAAAAAGGAACAGGGAACAAGACCAATCATAGGCATTATCATCAAAGTGAGTGTTTGTCAAAATAATTATAGTATTTGAATTTATTTGTTCAATTTTAATGGACGGTCATCTGAGCAAGTGATTCTGGGTGGAGAATTATGATGCCATAATGCGAATCCCATCCTTTTACATTTGAATCCCCCCTGCCTGATGCCAGTAATGCAGGTCAGGGTTGTTTTACCCTCATGCATATTTTATAATTAGCCCCACCGATCACGGATACCCCTGTGACCTGCTTATATGAGGTCTATGCAGTGGTTTGAATGTGTTTCCAAAAAGTATGCTTTGGAGTACTTGAAACTGTGAAGCAGCACCTGTTAATGACACATTGCATAGCTGCAGTACCTCCTTTAATAAGACACAAATAGCTGCTGTATTCATTCCCCTGCCTAATCTGAAGTATTTCTTAGGAATTAAAGCCAAACTAACACCAGGTGCTGAAAAATGGACCATTTTTCTTCTATAAAAGTCCCCAACATGTATTAAATAACTTACTAAATATACATGCAAACAAATGCTAACATTCATTATCCATCTTCTCTATGGTTATAAAATCCAAGAGATAGACATCATCATCATCATCATCATCATCATCATCATCATCATCATCATCATCGTCGTCGTCGTCGTTCTTTGAATGAAATGAGACATAAAAGGAAATACAGTTAAGGTGTCTGTATTTATTGGATAACAATTTTGATGCAACCAATCAAAATGGATTGTCCAGGGAGGAAGTTAAAGCCAACCACCACTATTGGTCTTAATATATCCTCCTACAATTGGCCAATTGTAGTGTCAAATCCAGGGATCATAATCACAATCCCGATTTGCCCAAATTTTATTTAAGGGGTGGGAATCACCTTCATGAGCTAAATGGAAGTTCCTATTTGTTTTCAAATGTCTAGTTTATCCGAAGAGATCTAAAGCTGGACTCTTGGTTTTAGCTATGAACACTCTTCTTTCTGAGTCGGTATTTGATTTAAGTAGATGGGATTTAGATATTTTAGTTATTGTTATTCAGATTTGTGAGGGTTGACTTTTCTTTATAGTTTGTTTTATAATTTGATTGTTAGCAACTCAGAGTTGATTGGTTGGGCTGCATAACATTTTTCTAAAAAAAGAGAGAGAGATAAATTCAGCTTTATGTATAGGAAGCTACAAGCAGGTAAAGAAGCCAGGAAGTGTTTAAAACTGAGGAAAACATGGCTGAATTGCACATACATTATTTCTGGAGTTGAATTAAACTGGGATTTGTCAACATTCTTAATTGGATGACATCTGATGAATGATAGAAAGGAAAGATCAAGAGGCAGGTATCTTGAGCTGGAATGACTAAATTACTATACTATATTCTTTCATTTTTTGACAGCTCATCAGAAAATGTAGAAAAGGCAATCCATCACAAAGACTTACTTTTGAGCAAGTCAAGAAATTGTTATGTAAAATGAACCCAAACAAAGTTAGTCCAGTTGACATGATGATGACTTTGGTAAGAATCATGATTATTACTCTAATTATATTAAATTTCTTTCTTCCAAGTCTCCAACCCTTCAATACATTTTAACATCATTACAATGTTCAATGACCTTTCCTAATGTGGTCCTTTCCAGGTGTGATATTGCTACCATATTCAGCTAAACATTGCTAATATCGAGATAACCATTATCATGTACTGAAAAGGCAATAACAAGAAGCATGTGCTCAAACTTTTACCAACGTATTGATATTTTCCAACAAAGTGGCATCTATGCCACTTTAATAGTTCTCTCATACTAGCTGGCCTCTGCATCTCAAAGTAAGCCTAATTGAGATCTGTCACTCCTATTCATTCCGTTTTCTCAGTTCTCTTACTCCCTTTCCTGTATTGCCATCACTCAGATTACTTGATGGGGATATGCAAGAACCATTAAAAATAAAGGTTCCCCTCGCACATATGTGCTAATCATTCCAAACTGAACTATAAGGAATAGGAGGAGCACACACAGCACAAGCAGACTTGGAAAATTCTGCTTTTATAGCCATTGCCAATAAAATTAACCTTCCTGTAGACTTAATTTCCTGAAGTGATCTTCCTACTATGGCTGATATGTAGTGAGGGATATGCAGTTATCATGCATACTAAACTTAAAAATAAAATTCTACTTTGATGAATATTCTTTAGGATCATTTGAGCAATCTTTGATTTCCCCATTAAAAAGTGGTGTGCTATCTGTTAGTCTTGGACTCAGGTCCTGCTTGAGGAACATGTGGTGGCTGTGGCCAAGAGGGCCTTTGGTTTTAATTGTGGTGCCATTTGCATTTTTCCTAAACTAGGATACTCTTGAGTCAATCCTTTAAGCTTTAGTTATCTCATTACTTCAGCACAATCTGCAAGAAACTACTCTTAAATACCACTGAGAAACTTCAGCTTGTCCAGCCCATGGAGGCAGAGAGAGTGACAGGCACACCTCAGTAGGCTTATGTGACATAGTCATTCCCCCTTCCCTCTCTTAACCTAGAGCAAGGGTCTCCAAACTTGGCAACTTTAAGACTTGTGGACTTCAACTCCCAGAATTCCCTAGCATGGCTGACTGAGGAATTATGGGAGTTGAAGTTCACAAGTCTTAAAGTTGCCAAGTTTGGAGACCCTTGCTCTAGCAAATCAAGTCCAAGATGCTTTTTTCAAATTACACTTTTGCTTTGGAATGAGATTTCCTTTATCTAATCTTGGTTGTGGCTTTCCTCTTCCTCCTCAAGGTTATTCTTACAATCCATTATAATCTAGAGTTAGATTGTTTTGTTAAATGGCTAAATTTAACAAAACAATAATAGCTACAGCTATAATAGCCACAATCTATAAATCAGTAGGCATTTCGTTTTGTAAAGAGTGATGCTACAGTACCTTTCTGCTTACATTATGCTAGGTATTTAAGCATCCATCTTATACTGCTGATATTCTTGATGGATCCCATTGCTCAGTCATTGCCTTCTATTATCCATCTTTCATAATTTCTAGAGAATAAGCTTTTATTTTCAGAGACATTTGTAAATAAATAAAAAGCCTGATTCCTAGATGCTGTTGTCCAAGAAAAGGACTGCATCAGAAGTAGCATATTTGGCACTCTTACAGGACTGTATCATATTTGTGGGGAAAGGATAGAGTTTGGGAAGCTCCTCCTAAGAATGAGCTAGAAAAGGAAAAAAAGACTAGGGCTGCTATCAGATCTAAGCTGCAAAAAAAATCTGGTGACTTCTAGATTGCCCCAAAGAGAGTGTTTGTTGTGGCTCACCAGCGGCCAGTGGTTGGGGAGGAGCATGGATCACTCCTGGAGGCTGGGGAAGGCTCGGATGAGGGCTTTGCATAGAGGCAGAGATGGGGCCAAGGCCGTCAGGCAGTGAACAGGTGCCTATGGAGCTAGACAGCAGTGAGACAGAGGAACAGCTAGAGCCTGTTCCCAGTGTGCGCATGCGCAGACCTGCCAGAAGAAAAGAACAACTCAGAAATCAGGGTAGAGTTGGGAGTAAAGTCACAGGTGAAAGGTGATTGGCCCAGTGGTGGGTTTCAATTTATTCTACTACCGGTTTGCTCGTGCATGTGTGTGCGTGTGATGCTTCTGCACATGCACAGAAGCGTCCAGGTGGGTGGGCAGAGCCTCCTGCTGCCGCTAATACCAGGAGCGAAAGGGAAGTGGGCTTTTGCAGGAAACAATTTGTTTGTTAGGTCATTAGATTCGTTTCAGGAGTATGAAGATCTGTCCATGAATCTCAGAGACTCTGTGACCAGTCTTTCCTTGCACAGCACCTCACTTGGAAAATATTTAAATGGCAGCTTTCCAAGATAGATAAGGTCTGTAGTCATAAGTATTCCTTTGAAAGACAGTTTGCCAGGTGTTGCTAAATGTGAATGAGAGGAATTCACATTCATTTAATAAAAGGGGTTTTGTCAGGACCAGGATTCTGCCTCTTGCTTTTTGGGGAAACCTAGGTCGGAACAGTTTTTTGAGCTTCTTTTCAGCTCCCTAGTGGTCATCCAAAACTTTGCAGCCCAGATCTACTAGCAGTCAACAAGACATTTTATTTGTTCAAAGCAACTGCCCAGTGCTAAAAAATGATAATGGCTAAAGTGAGGAGGAAGTTGTTCCTTTTCTCCTTCTTCTCCACAATGTTTCCAATAGTATAGCATTTGTTAAGCGCTCTATG